ATATATTTTGACAGGACACCGAAGAAAATGCCATAAAATAAAAACTTTGAGGACGTCTGACCCCCTTTTTGCAACGAACTAGACGTCTGACGATTTACATACGTTATCTGTGACCTTCAAACAGATAATGTGCAAAATTTCTATAAATTTTGAGCTTTGAGAAAACAGTTTAGATGCTTCTTAAAATTACAACTTTGCCCGCGTCCCAGAGCCAGCTGTCCCGGAACTGTGAGTGCTGACTGTACACTAGCATTCTAGCACTAAAGTACGACCTATTTTGAAAATATCCGCCTTGCGAAAACTCTTGCATGTTTTTGACGCCAGCTCCCCAACTATAAGAATCGCTGAAAATTTCAGCTTTCTATCTATAATAGAAAAAAAGTTATGACTTTTCAAAGTTTTCTAAAATCTAAATCATAAGGTAGCTCTACCTTCTTACTAAAACGATGAAATTTCATTTTTTTTTTTTTTTTTGTTGAGATTTTGTGTCTTAATGGTCATTTGATATCCCCTGAACTCCATACATCAAGTTATTCGCAGATTTGAAGCCAAAATCTATGAAAAAAGGCACTCAGAAAAATTGAAAAATTGATAAATCACCCCAATTAAATCTCCCAGAATCCTATCGCACAATTTACTTAGAATACTGGCTACTGAAATTCCTCTGTAGCTATTATTGCAATCCAGCTTGTATCCTTTTTTATGTATTGAGCATATAAATGCTTCTTTCCAATCATCAGATACTGGGTATCCGTTCATGTATTGACCATATAATGTGAGATTTTCTAGAATTTTTGAGCATTTCAGCGTATAAGTCCTCTCCAGGTCCGCTAGCTTTTCGAGATTTAAGTTTTTTAATACAGGGTGGACCAAAAGTTTTTTTACTTTTCAAACAATGATTTAAAAAAAAAAAACTAGATAAATGGGAGAAAAAATGTTTATTAACAAAAATACACAGATAGGGATTCATTTTTTTAAAAATTACATCATCCATATTATGTGATCTTTGACTGTTTTAACACTGCTGCAACCTGGAGCGGAAATTTTCAATAATGGCTTCGATTGAAATGTAAACAGACTTATGGATTCTTTTTCGATGATTATTTCCTCTCTATGTACTTCTACTTCTCTCCTCGGTGAGGCTGGAACATATTTTGGATCTCGTTTCCTGCAGCAGTCCCTTGTAGTGTTCGCTCCATTGTTCTGGTTTGATGATCTGAATGTTTAGAGTAAATATTTGCTTGCTATTATTGTTGGCGATAAATTTATTATGCACAAAATAAAGTATAACTTATATAATAGTTTTGTGTTTTTAGATAAAACTAAATATGTTATTGGTATCTATACATTCTGGAAATGGCAGGTAGGCCAAAGAAGAGGTGCATCTGCATCTCTGACTTTTGCTTATTCTATAGGCGTAAGTAAGTAGGTACCTACCTAAATTCTGCTTTTCTGAAAGCTAATTTATGATTTTTTGGAAATACCCAAGCAATTAGCACTTGTTCAAATAACAATGCGTTGGACATTTCGTCACGAAATGGTCACTTGCATCTTACATTTTGCCGTGGGAATAAGCATATTTAAAGATGAAAAGGTTTTCAGTTACCTACACAATTTCCAATATGAGTTCTTTGTGCTCTTTTTATACCTATGGACATAAGGAGTAGCAACGCGCCATTTTGCTATGAAACTTAAGTGAAGCCAGTTTTTGGCAGGTGTTTGGCACCAAATGACAGGTAAAGCATTGCATTTGCCTATACCGCCATTTTTTTGGTGCCAAAATACCTGAAAAAAAAACGGCTTCATTTTCCACCTCCATGTTATTACTCCTTCACCTTTACCTGCTCTAAGCCTATAACAAAAACATCTTAAGCTAACCCCAACTAATCCGAAGCAAAGGTTCCTAAGTATAAGTCAAGATTTACCTTATGGTTGAAAGACAAAATGCAAAATTAAAAGTAGGCACAATGGTTTATGGTAGTTGAACTGAAATACATTATCTATATGTTACCGGTAAAGTCCGTTATGCAGTCATACCTAGGTTTGCCTAGGCAAAGTCCGCATTGCCAAGCCACTTTAGGCAAAGTCCGAAATTATTCGATATTTCGAACATTGCCTACACTGTGGTACGACAATCTTAGGTTTGCTAGATGTGTAGCAGGCAAACTCCGAAGTAAGTTGATATTAGGAGGACGGTGTGTTCAGTTGGGTTCAATCGCTATTGGATTTGTGACCAAGAAGGCTTATCCCAGTAGCTATGAGTGGCGCGGGTGAAATGAAGGCGAGATTTTTGGAGAAATTGGAGAGTATGCAGAAACCAATAAATTCTTTTTACATTCCATCGATAGAGAAGTACGAGGCATTAATTAAAGAAGTTGAAAAAGCCAAGCAAGTTGACAAAAAAACAACTCTTCAATACCGACCTCTTGAACGTTACGATGTGTTACTTGTTGGGGGATTAAAAAGTTAATTTTGCCATTATCTGCGCAAGTCACTGGAGTGAAATACTTTGTCCCCAATGAAGAATTTTTTGAGGTGCTAGACAATGCTCACACGAAATGTGGTCATGCTAAAAGGGATATTATGAATAAAACACCAAGCAACAAATATGCTAACGTAACTCGAGAATGCATTACACTTTACTTAGAGCTATGTGAAGCCTGTCACAAGAAGAAAAAGCATCCAAAAAAAGGAATAACCGTGAAACCTTTGCTATTCTGAGAAGTGAATTCGAGCGGACAAGTCGATCTTATCGATATGCAGACTTACCCTGATAATGATTTCAAATATATCCTCAATTACCAGGATGATCTTTCGAAATATCTAGTTTTACGGCCACTACGAACGAGAAGAGCAGATGAGGTCGCTTATTGTTTAACGGACATAAATTTGCAAATCGTATTGTTGAAGAGCTGAAAGTGATGTGGCCACAACTGAGTATAGTCCACGGAAAACCACTTCATTTCCAAAGTCAGGGAAGTGTAGAGCAGTCTAACCAGGATGTTGAAAACATATTGATTGCCTGGATGGAAGATAATAAAACCAAGCGTTGGAGGGAGGGTCTGCGATTCTGCGTTGATTTGGTTTCTGTCATGACTGTCAGTTATAGAAGTAAATAATCGATTTCGTTATTTTTAGGAAGAAAAGCTCATATTGGTATTCAGACTATACCTGATGAAAAAGGTGCTGAAAACTGAAGAGGAATTGGAAGAAGCGCTTGCTACTTAATTAATTCCAATAGAAGTGGAGCAACGAATAATCTGGAGCAGGAAAAGTCCGATTCTAAAAACGACAATTCAAAACCACTTTCAAGCACTACATAAATCTCATGTGCTATTTGCTTTAAGGAAACTTCAGGTCCTCACAAGTGCAGAAACTGTGGTGAAATTTTTCACTTGATTTGCGCTCAAAGTAACAGTGGTACCAGTACCAACGATGACGAAGAGGGTTTTGGAGTATCGATCAATTCTATGCCTCCGATGTGCGCATAGACATTTACTGCAACTATAAACAAGGAAGTTGCCTACGAAGGATTGAGAGTTTAAGCAGAGAAGATGAAGCAGCTATCGCAGAAAAAGTTTCCGAAAATTCAGGTAGGGAAATCAGTTACAGTGCCAGTTTCGAATTTAGACAGAGGCTAAGGAGATGCCCGTAATATACTAGGAGTTGTTATGGAACAAACTGCAGATGGTTTTTATAAAATCGGTACTAAACATGGTGTAATCAGTTCTCTATATGTAAGAAACCAAACCCAAAGTTGCAAGAAATATTTTTTTAAAATCGAAGATGTCCCGAGAATAGAACTATCACTTCGCGAAATTAGTGGACACAGTTCTACATTTGGAGAGCAAGGGTTTCAAAGATGTAACTGTACCGAAAAATGCACCACTAACTCTTGTAAATGTAAAAGATTAAAATTGTTGTGTATTTTATAATGGTCCCTGTGTAATATGTACTCTGTAAAAAGTGTATCATGCAGGGGCCCCAATTCTACCCAAAGAGACCTCTTTGATTTGATTCTACCTCAATATCTTTTTGGTTGGTTTTTTGAATGTGTTTTTTTTTGCGAATACCTATTTTTTTAATAATAAACAATACCAAGTGTATTTTATAAGGGTCTACTGTGATTTTAAGGTTGTCTCTGTTTATACCCCAATATAATAATAGCCTGCTACAAATATTTGGTAAACCTAAGATTGTCCTACAACAGTGTAGGCAATGTCGGTAATATCGACTTATTTTTGACTTTGCCTAAAGTGGACCGGCAATGCGGACTTTGCCTAGGCAAACCTAGGTATGACTGCATAACGGGCTTTGCCGGTAACATATATACAGTGTGTCCCACTTTTCATGAATACATCCAGATATCTCAGTTATTAATAATGCGATTTGAGATATCGGGGTGTATTCATGAAAAGCGGCACACACTGTATATATAGACGTTAACTTTTTTTTCTCATTATAAGTAAATAGGTGACATATTTGAGTCAATTTATTTGCAGTCTAAGTAAACATCGGCGAAATGTAAAAATTGCAAATACTTATCTGCCGAAATAGCTCTGACATTGCCATTTGAGAAAAAGCTTGTAATTTGCAGGATAAAGCATTTTCCAGATTGCACAGATGCTCAAAACTTATTTTGACGCCTCCTAATTTGTAGATAACAAATTTAAATTAAACAAAATTTCATAACAATTTCTATCTGTTTTCAAATTCCACTAAGCACCAAAACTTTTCCATATTTGAAATACTTGACCCCGTCAACTATTTTAATCTTGTATTTATCCAAATGATGCTACGCTTTCAAACAAGGACATAATACATTACTACTTATACTAACAGGGTATTTTTATTGGTTTCTGACCTGTGATAAACCCATTTCAGTTTATGACAAGAAGTAAAAAAAATATAAATTTTTGGGTGTCATTTACATGATAAATGAGGGTCACTTTTATTAGGTCTAGACTAGAGGAAAGGTGATAAAACTACCAAAAATATTTCTTGTAAATTTTAATATTTTTCATTTATTAATAAATTAAAATTACCGAATATTTACAAAATTTTCTAAAAAGGAACTTATAATGAGTGCAAATTTATCAGTGGAAAACTGGAATAAATTAATATGTTTTTGACAATGTAATTAGGTTTTACAATCCTCTCAAGCGACAAATTGTGCGTTTCCGCAACACTGAAAAAAATTTCAACAATAAAATATCCATTATTGTCTTTCAATACTTTCTCCAAAAAACACAATCACTGCCACAACCCCAATCCACCCCAATGTCTGCTAATTCTATTTTGACTTTGCGGGCTAGAGAAAAAGTAACCACCTTCCGAAGTCAACCATCTGGCTTTGATCATATCTGCACCCTTTTCACCAATCATAATGGCAGGGGCGTTGGTATTTCCCGTAGTAACTTTTGGCATAATACTTGCATCGATTACACGGAGTCGGTCAACACCATGAACCTGAAAAATCAATAACAATCAATCAATCAGTTAAAATAAGTCACAACGAAAAATGCGAAATTTCTTACTCTCAATTGTGGATCGACGACAGCCATTACATCATCTTTGGGTCCCATTTTACAGCTTCCAGCTTGATGATTTTCTGGACCAGTCTGCCTCCTCATTGCGCATTCCCAGTATTGATCAGAACCAAATGTGAATGTTTCACAACCTGCTACTGGTGTCTTATCCAGTTGAAATCCGTACCTTCTTAAAGCTAAAAATAATTTTTCTAAGTTGATAGGTATTCAAAATTCTCACAAGTACCTTTTGTTTCAGCTAATCTTAAAGCAAACCTAATTCCTTCAATCATAACTCTAACGTCATCTGGATGGCTGAAGTAGTTAGCATAAATCAAAGGATGGCTAAGAGGATCGTTATTTTTCAGCCTAATCTCTCCTCTGGATTTAGGATGCAGTACCGCTGGAATAATTTGCACTTGCCTGTTACCATTATCAAGACGTTCGCCTACCATTCCGGTTTTTGCGCAATTAGCCAAAAATCCTCCAAAGAAGAATTGAACATCGGGTTGGTCCAAGTTTGGATCGTTGTATTTTGTATTAATGAAGCCCGTAACTTCAGATATTCCAGTTCCACTCATAAGGCCATCCCTGAACAACAAATATTCCATAGCGGTTGCCCAATTTAATGGGGTTGTATTGGTATCGTTTATGTTGAAGTTTAGGAAAAACGCTACGTGGTTTTGGAGATTTTTGCCTACTCCAGGCAAATTATGGGTAACTGGTATGTTAAGTTTTTCAAGTTCATTTTGAGGGCCAACTCCCGATAAGAGAAGAACTTGAGGGGATTGGACTGCACCTGCAGACACGATCACTTCCTTGGTAGAATAAATCACCTGAGGACCGTTGGGGGTGATCACCTCAACACCATAAGCTTTCTTGGATTTAGGATCTACCAGAACTTTGGTGACAGTGGAGTTCATCAAAATATCTAGATTTCTACGGTGTTTGAATGGCCGTATAAAAGCTCTGGCGCTACTAAGCCTGGAACCGTTTCTGTTAGTGGTTTGGGCTATTTGGAAACCGGTGTGGTAAATGCCGTTTACGTCTCTGATTGGTTGACCTGAAATCAAATATCTATACATGTTCTAGTAGATGAATTGAACATAGGTATTTGAACTTTCTTGTGAATCAAAGAAGAGATTTTGGAAGAAGGGTATAGATGTTATAGAAGCTTCTGTTATATTTTGAACAAGGTGATATATGAAATGTGAAATCAAACTTAAATACATAACGTATTACTGGATTGTGTGATAAGCGTAAGTTGCTGTTGCTGCATAAAATCGAAGAAAGTTTGAGAAGGAGGTACAAGAAAGATCAAAAATTATTTGCCTCCAGAGGAAAATGTTTTTGAAAAAAAGAATAGATGAATGATTCTGTGGAAATTGAAACATTCAAAATTGTATATTTCTGGAGTGTGAGACAAGTGTCCCTATGAATTCTCTGGGAAATTTTTACTAAGGATAGTGTTCAGATACGCCAGAAAAAAACACTACACTCTGGCTTAATCATTTGAAAATGATTGATCTGATAAACTGGTTCTGGTTTTCGCAGTGGATCCTACACTGCACGGACGAGATGGAGACGGAAAATCCACCTACCAACATGGAACATTTTGGATTAAGTGAAAATGTGGCTATTTAAATTTTTTGTTATTGCCTTATACGCTTAAAAAAGCACATGTAGATGTTTACAGCAGGAACGATACCTACCTAGTTCTTCTGCAGCCTTAATTATCGCCCTAGACAATGGCGGATGATAAGGGAATTGGGAAACCTGCAAAAGTCCTCCTTCAGAATGGTATCCTCTGTCCATTTTGTCTATTTGCTTGTTGTCTTCACTTTTCAAGAAATATGGAAGTACTTCGTTGTAGCCCCAACCTAAACAAATAGTTGCATTTTGAAAAAAAAAACAAAAATGTACAAAGGAAATAGTACCATTGTTGCCAAATGTCTCCCAATCATCGTAATCTTTACGAGCTCCTCGCATATACATCATACCATTCATTACAGAAGTACCACCCATTACCTGCAAGGATAATATTTTTTTTTAAAGGTTTCAAATAAGTTTTCAGGCAACAGTACCTTTCCTCTTGGCCAATAACATCTTTGTTCTTTCTCGGCCAAACAAGCTTGTTGCTCCGGTTCAGTTTGAAATGCCCAATCTATTTCTGAGCCAATAAAATTTAGGAACATTGATGGTACTTGAGTACCAGTTGGTTCGTCATTGCCTAGAAAAAAATGCTCATTCAAAAAGGTACATTTTTTTGGTTTTTTCCACTTGAGATTTTATGTATTGAATTTCGAACAATATTCTACCTGCTTCAATCAATAAAACATTCCATTCAGGTATCTCGGATAAACGGCTTGCTACCACCGCACCAGCGCTACCAGCTCCAACCACTATAAAGTCGTACTCTGGTAAAACAGGGGTGGCTTTTGGCCGTCCACAAGGATCTTCCAAGTCGCATTGGGACCTTAAAAAAATACAGTTTTGAAAACATTAAATTTAGACAAGTACCTAGGTACTATTGCAAGTTTATGATTCATATCTTGAGAAGATTGATATTTAGAACTTTCAGACGCTGGTTGTAAACTCATAAAATTAATGTTACCTTAAGAATACCTCCAAAAGTCCCATAAACAGCATAAATTGGACCCCTCCGCAAGTGGCAGCTAAGGTCGGCCCTGGTTGGGTTACCGGGCAATTGCAGGTAGGCATCCTTACTTAAAAACCCTGAAAAGGTAAGAAGAGAATATTTTATAATACCATTATCAAGCTCGAATAAACAAAGTTATTGTGATGGGTTTTGGTAGATACCAAATGGTTATTTTCCATTGAAGCAAGCGTAAAATATTAAAAAAATGATGAACAAATCATAGAACTCACGTTTAACTAGGAATGTAATAAAAAAATTCGCTCATAAAAGCTGATTGATGATGATGGCATAACAATTATAGGAAGATGTCTAATTGTTATATCGTTTTTTTCCTTTCAGGATCTTCATGGTTGATTGCTGGCTGAGTGATGTTGTGATTGCTTCAGGCGTAAAAACTGTAATTCTTCGGATGTGATCATTCATTGTCTTCAATCGAGGTTTTTGATTTTCGAAACGATTTAAAGTATTTTCGATATCAATAGAAAATAAACACGTTTGTAATAGATTTAAATTTCTGTCCTATTTTGGGGCTATTATTTTTGAAACGCAGGACTTCCTTTAAAAAATTGCCAATGTTGATGAGATAATTGCTTGCGAAATTGTCAGTAGTTTTTTGAAGAATTTGGAGATAATTTCAACTATAAGTAGTGATGCAAGGATCATTATTCCAATTAATACGCAGTTTATAGGTTTTGTCGAATAATCGTAACAGATAAACCATAATTTTTTACGATTACTTTCAACACATCGCGGGCAATCTACTATAGGTTATTTTGTACAACGTTTTTTTGGCAGATGTGGCATCCTTATCATATTGCTGAACAGTTTTAATCGGTAACTGTTCCGAAATCGCTGTTTCATAATAATATTCAATATTAGTTAATATTAAAATTACAAAATCCTCAAAATTATCTTGTTTATAGTGATGACACAGTAAGTATACAGAGCCGGTATCTTAAATACCGTTGATGATGTTTTCTCTCAATTTTATGGAACAACATTTGTATTAGGTACATAAAGTCCTTTGTCATTCTAATGGTATAACTTAACTAGAATGTATCACTGGATCGAATCAAGAATATGAATTTCTTTGCAGGCTTTTTCGAATTTGGACCAGATTATAATGAATGCGTTTTCACGCGATTTCCTTTCGCTTTTCATTGTTCAGATACTAATATGTCCACTCATACCGTAAACTAAGAAATAATATAACATTGTTTGAAATGGTAAATTGTATTTATTCAGATTGAGGTACCTAATTCATGTCTAACAGAACTTCAAAGTCATTTACTCAGTAAAGGTATTGTTATAATTGTTACTAGTGCATTATAATTTCGAAGGAAATGTATGTAGTAGGTATCTACAATGTGGGAAAATAAATAATATAAATTGAAATAAGTTTACCTTACTTTACCAGCTATATATCATTTACAAAAGAGCAAAATAATTTGATTTTTTTCTGTAGTAGCAGTAAATAAACAGTTTTACACAGAAACTTACATGTGTAAGCTTGTATGTGTCTCTTAAACCTATATAGGGAGCTTTATTTTTTTATCCTTGATTTTCTTAAATAAGTACATAATATTGAATATATAAAGTATAATAGGTAACCAATATAAGTGCTACAATTTTGATATTTGTCTTATTATAGAAAAACATGTTAAAATCGAATAATAATGTCACGCTTAGATAATTTAACAACACTTACAATAAAAATCACAAATCAAAAATTTCGTTAAATGAACATTAATCTTCCGAATCCCAATCCAACTCCTCCCATCCTATGTGTCGTACTTCTGGCAACTTCGTATTGTACTTCCATGGAAGTAAACATTTCTTATTGCTTTTCCAGTACATCTACACTTTTTACTGGTAAAATATCAGTATCAGTTGTTGCTTCGTATATTTTAGTAGCTTTAATTCCGCCAGCGCCATCTACAACTGGTAAAACATTTTGCGATTAACTGGACAGCTGGTTTACTTTCTGATTCTTCTCCTTTTTGTCACGAAACTTTTCGCATTTCAATTTAATCTCTGAAACGACCTCTGTAATTCCTGGCATGAAATATCTTTTTCCATTGTCTTTCCTGTTTCTTCCATCTTCTATAGCTGAAGCTAGATAGTTGTCAGATTTAAATTCGATTCTCAATTTTCCCAATCAGTCCATTCCCTTATCAGATTTCTCTCGCCTTGATGTGAAAGGAAGGAAAGAGGGGACCTTGAATTTCTCCTAGGTGAAGATCTTTTTGACGATCTTGAAGAGCGTCGCCTATCGCGACTTTTCCTTTGCCTTTTATCTCGTGGATCGCGACTATACTTTCTCTCCCTTTATCATCATCTCTTCTGCTTCTATCAGCTCTATTTCTATCATCATCTCTCCCTTTGTCATTCTCATTATCTCTCCTTCTGTCTTTAATATTGTCATTTCTTCTTCTACTAGGTCTATCATCTTCAAATCTGTTATCTTTGTTTTTGCCTTGGTTTCTTCTATCATCTTCATTTCGTTCGGACTTATACTGCGGCTTCTATTGTACCGATTTTGTGGGTATTTTGACTTGGAAGCTTGATTTGCTGTGCCGCTAGAGCTCTGTTGAAGTCCTCATGTCCATTTCGACTTCTTCATAATTATCTTCGTGTGAGGCTGGTTTTTCGTTCTTCAATGATGTTGGATTCGGATGTCCCGGTATGTCTGGAAATCTTTCCTTTCGAAATCCTGAATCGTCGCTGTTATCGTCATTTCTGTAGTTGAGTTAAGAATTCATTTTCACACTTGAAAAGTGATTAAATATTCAATTATTTGGGAAAATAATTGAAATGTCCAAGCTTCTATTATAGAAAAATTATTCAACAAAATACGAGGAAACTATTAGTCTAATCAATTTGGCTCCAGAAGCGAGAGGCCCTAAGAATGAACTTAGGGAATAAGTCTTGAATGAAGATGCATTACATTCTATTCGATCTTTTTTTTTTGTACTTTTATCGATTTTCCGCCTCAAGAGAGATATAATTCCATCAAAAAAGGAAAAGTAATTCTAATGCTTCTCCTACATTTCTTCTATATTCTGGTCCTTTTTCATTATACAGGAAACAACACGTACGAAATAGTAAATATGTTTCCCTGGGTCGAAAAAGGTGAGCTAATAGAAGACAGTCTACATTATTCTCTGATCAAGTACCTATCAGAATGGTGAAAAGACTTTTGGATTACCTACTAGAATGCATAGCTCCTCAAGGTGATACTAGTTTGGTATATGGTAAAATCTTTGGGATCTAAAAGCAATTATTGACAACCTAATACTGAAAACTCCTCGAGGAGTCAGCTTTCTTCTATTCTCATCATTCTCCTTTAGAAGCTCCTGATACCATACATTTCCTTCTTATTGGAAGGCATCAAAGACTCCAAAGAGAAACAATAATGTTATGGATTAAAACAAGAAAGCAAGAATTTCGAGCCTTTATGAACAATAATTCAAGTTGAAACCAGTTTGACTGAGCTACAACCGCCTAAGAAAATCGAATTCATAATCAACGGTTTCAAGTGGAGCAGTTCTGATGAATCTTTGAGAGAAAATTGATGGTATGATGGACTGAATTTAGAGCTACTTAGCCGAACTTACGACGTAATGACTGGTTAGCACCGCTAAAAGATTAGTGATTGGATACCATCAACCCAAAGACCGAGAAAACAAAGATGATCCTGAATCCTGGACTACCTCGACTGTACTTTTCCAGCCCAGAATCAATTATCTAAAAACTTCAGTAAAAACAATATTGCAGCCGACCCTCACAACTATAGTGCAAAAAGTCCAGTTTATCATCCCCACCTTTCCAGGAGAAAGGTAGCAGTCCTCCAACTACCGCTACGTCCAGTTCTTTCATTAATAAAATAACTTTTGTAGAATTTTGCGAAAAAGTAGAGCAGAAGGGCCAAGTCACTGTATTTCAAAGAAACCGGATATCAACCGACTATATCTACATTGATAGTGAAGGCAAGCCATACTCCAGAGGAACCAGATACTTAGGATTAAATATAGATGCGAAAATTACTTGAAAAGATGAAATTCAACCAAAAAGGTCAAAAACAAAGCAAAAGCACCATGGGACGGCAAACCAACCGTGATTTTGGCGAAAAGAAGAGTTAAAACCATGGGTGTTTAGTAGAAATACACTATTTTCATTGCGGTAAATGTAAATTGTAGACATTTTTTACTAGAATTATTTTAAAACAGTTATTTTAGTACGTCTTTAATCTTCAGTTTACCTTTTGAAGTAGAATAGTACATTAAAATACAAGTTTCATAAGACGTGATTTTATCGCACGAGCCCTATATTAGAAAACGAGCCGGAGGCGAGTTTTCTAAAGGGCGAGTGCGATAAAATGTCTTATGAAACGAATATTTTATACTATTTTTTCTATTTTGGTATTGTTTAATTAAAAAAAAAAACAAATTTTCCTTGGAAATTTTATTCTCATATTTCCTGATTTCATGTTTAGGTTGGTAACACTACACGCCAAATATAGAAATCTTCTTTTTTATTTTTATTTTTACCAATAATAAAATCGCAAATGACAGTTCGATGGCCATCAGTCAGCCAGTGTTACCAACTTCCGATAAGTAAAAAAGGAGTGTCACAAAGAGCTTCTTTTCGAAACTACTTTCAGTGTCGAAAAGACTTCGATATGAAACCAAAATAGAAAAAATATTTTACACTTCGATAATTTTTTCTCATATAGGTTGAATTTCAAGACCTGAATTTCATTGTGAAATCGATTTTCATTACATATCAATTCTCAACTTACATATACCTGGTACTAGAAAAAAGCTAATATGACATGATAATTGATTTCCCTGTTTCAAATTACACGAAAATCCGCTTACGCGTCTAAAACTGGACCAAATAAATAACGATATATCACCATTTTGAGTCTGGTATAGTTGGGCAACGTATTTTGCTAATAGGGGCCCAATTTTTTCTATTACAACTAGGTAGGGTGACTGCGCTGGTTTGCCGACCATTACTAGTTCTCGACCACATTCACCTTTAATCAGGAATAAATAGTAAATATGCACTCGTT